TTCGAGAATGTTACTTGTAATTGTTTTCTACCCTGTTTCGATTTAGAGTATTTTTAAGTTCATGTGGCTTGTGCACTGCAGCAGCATCACTGCTGACAAAAACCTCTAACAGTGAATGTTTTCTGCGCGGAGTGTAGTTTGTCAGCCATTCGTGTGACTTGGTTTGGCCGGGCTGTGGGTTCTTTTGCCGGTCGGACAGCAGCCTGGTGCACATGCTGTAGACGGACATGTTTTCCCTTTCCTTTACACTCGCACACATGTCAGGCCTTCAGTCATGATGAGCAAGCTCGAGCTTTTCAAAAAGCCAGATAATTTTGAGTTGCCGTCTGGAATGATTTTCGTGCAACTGTGGAAACTTCGCTGTGAGTAAATTGTAAAGTTCCAGTCTGCCGTTTTCACCAGTTCTTGGTCTTATGAACAGCTGCCCCCATGTTAGAGAGCTGAGGATATTTTATATCCACTCTGCTCTGTGGATAACTTTCGGACCTACCTTTGCTAACACTTGGAAGATTATCCAGTAAAGCTAGTAGTCCTTGTCAGCAAAACCGCTTAAATGTATTGATGACTTTACTCCATTTAAGTAACCCTATGGGGTCTAACTCAGGAAGTGAGAAAATTCCGAGTTAAATTTGCTTGTTTCACCCCGTAGGGTGGAGATGTTACGGCTCGTCTGCTGAGTGAGATCCCCACTGTGAGAACCTAATGAATACTAGCTGATGGTGTGGACCCCTGACAAAACCCTTTTATTTTGCCTTTCTTTGGTCACTGTTCATTCTAAACAATTGTAGCCCACTCCTCAAGAAACTACTTATTTAATTCTTTCACTCATTTTTTTATTTTAGAAATAGTCTGTGGAGCTACTTTCATTGTCTGTTGTACTAAGTTTCACTATTCAGCCATCCTCCCATCTAGAGAAAGGAAATTTATCAATAATAATTCATTTTTGGTTATAGCTCTAATACAGGTGTTTCCTCTGCCAGATGCATGTAGCCTGAATCATTGCTAGTTTTTGGCAGACTTCTTTGTATATGACACAGAAAAGTCAAGATGAGGTTAGAGTAAGTTAGGAGGTAGTTTTCCATGGTTGGGGGCTCTTTCAGGTGTCTCTTGTGCTCAGCAGAGACACTGGAGGGACCATACCTTGGCATCTGCCTCTTTAATTACGAGGTGCTCAGACTGAATGAGGCACAGACCAGCAGGTACTTTTTGGTTGACTAACATGTGAGCTGTGTGTGTATTTAACTGAAAAGAAATGAAGGGAGGTTTACACTAAGACATAAAATTGTTGGTATTTTCAAAGTATCCTTTATTTAGAGGAAATTATAATTCAACTGGTAAAATCTGAGCAGTGTGCCCCATCATTACCTTCATGGCCATGACTGTGGCTTCCGTCTTCTTAGATTTCTCTCTTGTGCTTATCATTAAGACCACGTTGTTTAGGCTTTTTTTCCCAAGTGTACAATGAAGTGATTTTTTTGTAAATTTAATGGTTGTGCAACCATCACCACCCAGTCTTAAAACATTTCCATCATCTCAGAAAGATCTCTTGTGTCCATTTATAGTCACTCCCATTCCTACCCTACCTCCAGGCAATTGCTAATCTACTTTCTATCTCTAGTTTTGCTTTTTCTGGACATTTCTTCTAGTGGAATCACACAATGTGTGGTTTTGCTGCTGGCTTCTTTCGCTTAGCATAATGTTTTTGAGATCATTCAAGATGAAGCATGTATCAGTAGCTTGTTCCTTTTTATTACTAAATAATATTCATTGTATGAATATACTACAATTGTTGGTCCATTCATCAGTTGATAGTCATTAGGGCTATTTTCTCTTTTGGCTGTTATGAATAGTGCTGAAAATTCACCTACAGATCATTGTGTGGACATATGTTTTAATTTCTCTTAGATAGACATCCAGGACTGGAATTCCGGGTTCCTCTGGTAAGTTTATGTTTAACTTTCTAAGAAACGGCCAAACTGTTCTCCAAAGTGGCAGCACCGTTTTGCATCCCCACCAGCAACCTGTAAGGGTTCCAGTTTGTCTACATCCTCATATTGTCTGTGTCTTTAATTATAGTCATTCTAGTAGATATGAAGTTAGGTATCTTACAGCAGTTTTAATTTGCACTTCCCTAGTGACTAATGATATTGAATGTCTTTTCATATGCTTATTGATCATTCATATCTTTTTTGGTGAACTGTCTGTTCAAATCTTTGGCCCATTTAAAAAAATGGCTTTATGTATAATTTACATGCCATAAACTTCACTCTTAAAATGCACAGATCAGTCGTTTTCAGAATACTTACAGAGTTGTGTGACTATCACCCTAATCTAATTCCAGAACATTTTCATCACCCCCAAAAAACCCTGGTACTCATCAGCAGGTACTCCCCATCCTCCTCCTCCAGCCCTAAGCCACCACCAATCTACTTTCTGTCTCTATCGGTTTGCTCATTCTGGACACTTCATATAAATGGAATCATACAATATGTGGTCTTTGTGACTGGCTTCTTTCACTTAGCATATTAATGTTTTTGAGGTCCATCCATATGGAAGCATGTATCAGTATTTTATTCTTTTTTGTTGCTACACTTAAATTGTATGGCTATACGACTCTTGTTTATCTCTGTATCAGTCGGTGCACATTTGGGTTGTTTGCGTTTTTAGAATTTTGTGGGTAATGCTGCTGTGGACATTCATGTACAAGTTTTTGCAGACATTTGTCTTGCTTTCTCTTGGGCAGATTCCTAGTTGTGGAATTGCTGGGTCACGTGGTACCTCTGTGCTTAACATTTTGAGGAATGACCAGCTGTTTCCAAAGCAGCCGCACCATTTAAATTCCCAGTAGCAATGAACAAAGGTTCCAGTTTCTCCGCGTTCTTGCTCATACTTGTTATGGTCTGCCTTTTTTGTTATACTCGTTCTAGTAGGTGAGAAGTGGTATCCAGTTGTGGTTTTGATTTGCATTTTTCTAATGACTAATGATGTTGAACATCTTTTCATGAACTTATTGGCCTTTTGTATCGTTAGTTGGAGAAATTACTATTCAAATCCTTTGCCCGTTTAAAAACTTATGTGTTTCCTTGTTGAGTTGAAAGCCTTGTTTCTGTATTCTAGGTACTAGTCCTCTATCATATATGATGTGTAAACATTTTCTCCAAGAACGTGGCTTGTCTTTTCACTTTCTTAATGGTATCTTTTGAAGGCCGAAAGTTTTGAATATTGATGAAATCTGATTTATCAATTTGTTTCTTTCATAGATCATGCTGCCAGTGTTGTATCTAAGAAGTCTTTGCCTAACTGTGAAGCACAGAGATTTTCTCCTATGTTCTCTAAAAATGTTTTGCATTTAGCTCTTATATTTAGGTCTCATTCATTCTGAGTTAATTTTTGTGTATGGTGTGTGGTAGGGCCTAAGTTCCTTCTTTGCTCGTGGTTATTGAATTGTGCCAGCACCATTTCCTGTAAAGACCATTCTTTCTCCATTGAATTATCTTGGCACCCTGTCAAAAGTGAATTGAACATAAATAGAAGGGTTTATTTCTGGATTCTCAGTTCTGTTCATTTACCTACATGTTATTTCCTATGTCAGTATCAAACTGTCTTGATTACTGTAGATTTATGTTAAGTTTATATTACATTATATTCTGAAATCTTTTTCATACATTGTTTAGTTTTTGGTGCTGCTTTAGCTGTGTTTTTCAGTCTCGTCTCCCCAGTTAGACTGAGAGTACATGAAGACCCAGCTCGGTCGTTTCAGATCACCGGACTTCATGCAAGTTTGTTAATAAGGTTCTTTCCTCAACTGCAAAAAGAAATAAATTTCCTGCCCTTCCTGTGTCACAGGATTATTGTGAGAATCAAATGAAATAAAGGTGGGAACACTCTAAACTGTCGTTTTTATAATTACAAGGGCCATTTATTACCTTTCACTTCTTGTAAGTAAATCTGCATGCCTGCCCTCCTTAAGGTCCTTGGTTTTCAGGGAGGATAATGTAGGTTTACAGTGCACTTGGTAAATCTCGAAGCCTAAAATTAATCCTCAGTATGTCTGCTGTGTGCCTTTGTGGTTTTTATTTTAACTAGAAGTAAGAGTGGTTTTCTTGGGTCTTCTCTGATGGCTTCCTCGAGGTAACTGGCTCTCATAGAAGTGGGTTGGCACTCTTCCTCTGAGCCCTGCCTGCCTTGCTTGTCTCTCAGAAACGGTGTTCTCTTTACCAAGCTGGACTTGGTCACAAGTGGACTGAATGCTCGTGCACAGTAAGTCAAGGAGTCTTCTAAGTGGCCAGCGCTGAATCAAGCACAGCATCGAGATGTTACGATCCGTTTGGTTAAAGTCCTCATGTGCCCTGAGAGCCTGGGGGGTGAGGACGCAAACCCTGACGTGTGGTCTGCTCTGTGGTTGACGCTGGGCCAGATTTCACTGGGCCGTGGAAAGCAGACCTCCAGGAGCGCAAGGTTGTTTTCCACATGCAAATGTCATCGAGGAGGAATCTTCACTTGATGGAAACCATGCTTTCTTTCTAAATGGCAGTCTGTGGCGCCTTATTAATTTCGCTCCATCCAGCATTAATGGTTCTGTGTTCAGGGCTGATGGGTGTCCGTATCAGCTACTCCAGCAAGAGTAAATTTTCTCATCTATGGTAGAATTAAAACTAAACTAAATTAAAAACTCTCACTCAGCACACTGTTTCTGCTAACTAGGATTCAGTTAACCAGCGTTACACATTTATAATACAAATGATCTTTAGGATAAAGGCCATTACTCAATAAAAGTTCTCAAAATACCTTCAAAATGAGAGATTAGATTATTGTGTGTGCCCGTGTGGAGGGAGAGAGAGGTACCATTAATTGCATTCCTGAGTTCTAATGCTTTACACTGGTATTCTAATTTACAGTATATATACTTAACTCATATTAGCAAAGTATGTATGTGCTTAATTCAAGGTGTTTAATTTTTAAGAATGCGCTGTTTTCTTACACATGCTTTTCTTTCGAAGAGTTCAAAGAAGCTGGTGTCTTTTTCCTTTATTATCCACGTTCTTCTTGAGCACAGAGAGTGGAAAAATGGGTTTCGAGAGGTGGCTGCGTGCCCCAGTTCGGCCGACAGCAGAGCCGGCCCGGCCTGTGCTTCCTGTGCATGTACGTACTCCCTCTTCACTCGCTCGCTGCCGTGTTCCCAGGTGTGTCATGAAACTGGAGGGCTCACTCTCGTCAGCAAGGAAACCGAGGCTTTGAATTTCATTTCTGCCCAACTGTGAAGTCTTGAACACCCCCTCCCTCCCCTGCGCCTCACTCATCAAGCCCCCTGGAGCCCCATCACTTCCAATGAAGGAAGCAGTCCATGGCAGCAAAGGTGTCATCGCGCCTCCTCACTGGAGGGCGCTTGTCTTTCCAAGACCTGCGCCAACTCTGTTCCATTGTCAAGGCAACACATACATATTTTACATTTTAATTTATGCATCTTATCAAATGCTCTTTCTTGCTCAACCACGTTCCTGTTTCAGCTGTTCTCTGGCGAGGTTGCTGTTCGATTGATGTTCAGTTATTGTTAAGTAGTGGGGTCTTTGCATATACTCAGGATTTTAATTTTGTTTATGTAGTGCAAGTGCCTTCTTATTTGGGCAGTAAATCTTCACCTGCCTTTATGAAGGCTGACAGAGCCTCTCTAGAAGGGAGTATGAGAGAGTGAATCATGTAACACAAGCATCTCAGAGTTAAAGGCCTCTGCAGCCCTCATTCTCCTTTGGTCCAGGCCAAGCCGTGATAACTGGACTATTTGCCAAGTAAGTTTACAAGTCAGTGTCAGATGCAGTTAGCTCTCCATAAGCCACAGTAAATAACAGAAAGTACAAATAATTTCATCCACTCAGCTGGGTGAGGTCCACCAGGCAGGTGATCCCCACATTCCCTGAGGAGCCCACCCCTCACCGACCACCAAGGTATCAGTATAGCTCCCCCTTTCGCCTGCTGCAGGTTGTGGGGACCCCACCACCTGAGCCCCTCGAAGAAAGTCAGCTCGTCACCATGGAAGACACAAGTCTGCCAACCGTAATGTGCCGAGTGTTACTTGCCCCACACAGAGATGGTTTAGAATGTAGTTCCAGAGTGTTTCAGATTCCACCCAGAAAGTATAGGTTCCAGTTCTTAGTTATCCATCCGTGTCCCTGTGCTTTCCTTTTTGGTAGGTCTGATGTCAAGGGAAATGATATTATTGCTGTTCACCAACTATGATGTTACTCGGGGCAGGGGGGAGAGTTGAAACAGTATAAAATGACATGGGGCATATTTAATATTTCCACTTTTTCCCTTTAGCCCGGAATATTGAAAGTTGTCATCAAACCAATTTTAACACACCACACCTCTTTTTACAGTACAGAGACTGAGCAGATCCTGAATAACCAGAGATCCAGGTCCTTGCCTTATCTTCTTCAATACTTTGATCTAAGTGAAGACATAGAAGGCTATTTGCAAAAGTCATGAAGGTGGCTAATGTGATTACTGCAACAGGCAGCAGAATAAGGATAGCATACTATTGATACTCTTTTGCACTTTGTTTTTTACTTAACAGTACATCCTGGAAGTCACAGCACGGCAGCCACAGAGCTCTTCTTCCTTCCCATCACAGCTGCATAGTGCTGCATTGCCTGGATGCTCCGTCTTTATCCAGCCACTGTCCTACAGATGGGCATTTGGGTTGTTTCCAATATTTTGCAGTTTAACCAATGCTGCAGTGAGTAACCTTGTGCATTTTTTTTTTCATGTTGTAGGTATACCTGTAGGGTGGATTCCTGGAGGTGTAATTTCTGGGCTGAAAAGTGTGTATGTAACTTTATTAGGTACCACCAAATTTCCCTGCAGAATTTGCATTTCCACCAGCAATGTAGGGGATGTCTGTTTCTCAGGCCTCACCAACAGAGGCGGCATCACACTTTAAAATTTTTGCTGGTCTGATAGATGACAAACGGTGTCCTGATATTACCTTAATTTGCACTTTAAATATGAGTGGGTTTGAACATTTTTTCATATGTTTGGGGCCATTTTTATAACTTTTTGTCATCAATTGTTCATGTCTTTTTTCCTATTTGTCTTTTGGGTTTCTGGTCATTTGTTCTTCAATTTGTATGAGAGTTTCATTTATTAAGGTTGTTAGCCCTTTTTCTGTGGGATATGTTGCAAATATTTTTCTCCAATTTGTTAGTTATCTTTTTTTTTTTCCTGAGGAAGATTGGCCATGAGCTAACTTCTGTTGCCAGTCTTCCTTTTTTTGTGCTTGAGGAAGATTAGCCCTGGGCTAACATCTGTGCCAGTCTTCCTCCACTTTGTATATGGGTCACCGACACAGCATGGCTGATGAGTGGTGTAGGTCCATGTCCAGGATCTGAACTTGCAAACCCGGGCTGAACTTAGCCAACTAGGCCGCTGGGGCTGGCCCTGTAAATTATCTTTTGACTTTGTGTAGGGTTTGTTTTGTTTTGCTATGCAGATATTCTTTATTTCTGTGTAGTTAAATTTTTCAGTTTTTGTTTTATTGCCTCTGGATTTGAGTCATAGTTAGAGGGTCTTTTTCTACACCAAGGTTCAGGAGCATTCACTCATGTTTTCTTCTAGGAAGGATATAGTTTCACTGTTTTACATTTAGATCACTAATTCATTTGAGGTTCATTTTTGTCTGTGGTGTGAGATACAGATCTAGTTTTACCGTTTTCCAAATGGCTTCCCACTTGTCCTAGCACCATATGTTGAAAAGTCCGTCTTTCTCCCAGTGGCTGGAGATGCCACATTTCCATATACATTCAGATTTATTCCTGGGCTTTTTATTCTATCCCACTGGCCTATTTGTCTGCTTATCACCAGGACCACTCAGTTTAGTTATAAAGTCTTTATGGTATGTTTTAATGTCCAGTAGTTGTGGTTTTCCTGGCTATTCTTGCGTATTTGTTTTTCCATGTAACCTTGAGAATCAACTTGTATAAGTCTATGCAATAGTTTATTGGTATTTTTACTGGGATTATGTTGAGTTTATAAATTAGAGAGAACCATCATCCTATAATGTTGAGTTATCCTATCCAAGATTAGAGAATGCCTTTTCATTTGTTCATATCTACTTTTATGTCTTTCAAGAATGTATTAAATTCTCCTTGTATAGGTTTTGTGCAATTCTTAATAAATTTATTCTAGAGGCTGGCCCCATGGCTGAGTGGTTGAGTTTGTGCGCTCTGTTTCAGCGGCGCAGGGTTTCGCTGGGTCAAATCCTCAACGCAGACATGATACTGCTCATCAGGCCATGCTAAGGTGGCATCCCACATAGCACAACCAGAAGGACTGACAACTAGAATACATAGCTATGTACTGGGGGACTTTGAGGAGAAGAAAAAGAAGGAGAAAAAAAAAAGATTGGCAACAGATGTTAGCTCAGGTGCCAATCTTAAAAAAAAAATTTATTCTAAAACATTTAATCTTTATTGTCATTATTTTAAATGGAGTTTCCTCTAACTACTTACTGTTTTATATTGGAAAGCTGTTGATTTTTCTATGTTAATTTTGTATCCTGCCATTCAACGGCTTCTTTTATTGAGTTTTATCATTGATTCTTTGGAGGTTTCCAGATATACTTTATGATGTCATCTGCAAATAGATAGTTTGACTTCTTCACCCATTCTTATGCCTCTCATTCCTTTCTCTTTTGTAATGATGTTAGGTAACATAAAACCTCTAGGACAGTGGGTGAACAGAAATGGACAGTGGGCATCTTTGCCTTGTTCCTGATCCTAGTGGAAATGCTACTAGTCCTTCCCCATTGAATAAGACACTGGCTTTAGGATTAAAGTATGTATATTTTATAATGTTAAGAGTATAACCCTCAATTCCTGTTTTCTTTAATTTTTATAAACGGGGTTTTAAATTTTGTGAAAATCTTTTTCAGTTTCTATGAAGATCCTGTTATCTTTTCCTTTGGTTTGTTAATATGGTAAATGACACTGGTGGATATCCTGATACTGAATCCATCTTTCATTTCTCGAAAACATCCTACTTGGTCATGGTATGTAGTTTTCTTAATGTGGTGTTGGATCCTGTTTAGTATTTAATTTAATATTTTTGCATTGATATTCATGAGTGGTACTGGTCTGTAGTTTTCTTTCTTTGTTGTCTTTATCTGGTTTATCAGTGTTATATTTTGCTCTGTAAAAGGAGTTGGGATATTTTCTGTAGTTCTCGGGGCTCTGGGATAATTTGTGTAGAGCATTGGAACTGTCTGGTAGGTTCAGTAGAATTCGCCTGTGAAGCCATCTGGTCCTGGTGCTTCTTGTGGGGTCCTTGTTTAAGAATCCTCTCTGGGTCTCCTATGGAATTCATCTGCCTAAGATTTGCAACTCTAATAGGGTCAGTTTTGGTCATCTGAATTTCCTTAGGAAGTTACCCATTTCATCTTCCTTTTCAAATTCATTTGCATAGAGGTCTGCAAAGTAGTCTCTTAGGATTTTTAAAATTTCTTCCATTTCATTGGTTATTTCCCCCGTGCCATTTCTTACTCTCTATGTTTGTGCTTTCTTGCTTTTGTCTTGATCAACTTAGCTGGTGGTTTGTCTATTTGGTTAATTTCCCCCTCAAAAGAACCCAGGATTTTGATTTATTAGTTAGATCTACTGGTTTTCAACAGAAAAACCTCTCCCTCATAAATCAGCTTTTCCATCCCTGTTTCCTTCCTCATGTTTTCTTTTGGATTACTGTTGTTCTTTTTCTTGTTTTCATGCACTGACATTTATTAATTTATTAATTTTATTCTTTCATTTTTATTTGTAAAAGTGTTAGTCTAATGAGTTGTTCTCTGATTACTGCTTTAAATGCATTCCATAGATTCTGATATGCAGTGTTTTTTTTGTAATTATTTTTTTAAAATTCTGTACTTTCAGATTGTATTTCCTCTTTCACCTGAGAGTCAATAGTAGAATTTTTAAACATCCAGGTGGGGATGCCTTTCTGTTTTTTGTTTTTATTAATAATGTATAGTTTTATTGCATTGTGATCGGAAAGTGGTGTTTTCAATATTTCTACCTTATGGAAATTATTGTGTTTTCTTTGTGACCTAATATATGATCAGTTGTTGTGAACGTGCTTTAGGTTCTTGAGAAGAATGTGTATTCCCTGTTATCAGGGTTTGGAGTTCAATATATATACACAGATCTACCTTGATTGATGACGTTGTTTAGATCTTCCATCTCCTTACTTATTTTTTGCACACGTGCTCTGCCTTGCACTGAGAGTGGTGTAGTAAATCTCCTATTGGTATTATGTTTCTAACTATCTCCTTGCATCTCCTGTAGTGTTTGATTCATAGAAGTAGTGGTTGTATTATTTGGTGCATAGAGGTTCACACACATCATGTCTTCATTGTGGTCTGTGGCTTTTAGCATTAAATATGTCCTCTGTTGTGTTTAATGCTTTGGGGCTTGAATTCAATTTGGTCTACTCCTGCCATCTTTTGTTTTCATTGGCCAGGTATAACTTTCTCCATCCTTTTAATTTTCAGCCTTTCAGAATTACTTTTTTAGGAGTGCCTCTTATATACAGCATATAGTTGGGTCTTGTTTTGTGAGTCAAATTAAAACCCTTTTTGTTTTAATAGATGAGTTAAACCCATTAATATTTATTCACAGGGCTGATCTGTTTGCTTGCAACTCTATCATAATTTGTAATTATGTGTATTTTGTTATATTTGTGGTTTCCTTCTCTGTGAGATCTGTATTCTTTGATCTTTTATTGAGATTTTTAAATTTGGGTGTAAAAGGACGTGTATTTTCTAGTGATTGCTTTTGTATTTAAACCTATTTTAATGTCCTTAGGAACCTGTTGTATTATTTAACTCTGTACTGTCTCATTTATCAGTTTTTTCTGGTACTGCTTAACACGCATCTGTTGCTTACACAGTATTGTCATATACATAATCAGAATTTTTCCTCTTTCCCTCCTTCATTTCCCATTTCTGCTTTGTTGCAGTACATAATATTTGCATATTAGTCTTTCAGCCTAATCCCACTTTTATTTTAGTCCTAGATGTATATCTAAATACTTTTAAATGCTTACCGTACATCCTTTTGCTGGAATTTTCCCAGTCATCACTTGGTTAGATAAAACTTACCCTCACACAGAGTCCTCCAGAAGGGCTGATGGATGTGGTGTTCTCTAAGCTTGTGTATTTTGGGAACTGTTTTTCTATAGCCTTGATGTTTGAAGGACAGCTTGTGGATTTAAAATTCTTGGTTCATACTTTCTTTCACTGAGTTTTAACAATGTTGGTCCGTTGTTGTCTTACTTACTGTTGGTTTTGAAAAGCCTGATGCCAGCCCAGTTCTTTGCACGTTCATTGATCTCTTTGCCCAGGGGCCTTGAGGATTTATCTGTGAAATCTGAGCATTTAATCAGGATGTGACTCAGAGTCTGTCACTCTGGGTTAATTTTCCCAGGCACGTGTGAGCCCTCTCATTTCCAGATTCAATTCTTTTCCTGTCTCTGGAAGTTTTCTTGGATGATAGTTCTAAGTATCAGCTTTGTTCTGTTGTTGTGTTTTCCCTTCCAGGAGCTCTGGTTTGTGAACACCATTCCTTCTTTGTCTCCCATTCCCGCTGCTTTCATTTTACCCTTTTACTTCTTTCTTTATGTCGTTTTCCTCCTGTTGGTCGTGTTCCTGTCTTTCCTCAGTGCCCTTTATTAATCTTCATTTGAACTTACTTTGCTCAGGCGCTTTGTAATGTACTCCTCATTTCTGCAATGATTTTGACTTTTCCTTCCATCACTTTCCGGAGCTCATTCAACTCTCTTCCTTTCTCCCTGTTTTCTCCCTTTCTGTCTTTAATTTTGCATTTCTAGTTCAAGGTGGTTTTTCGAATCCTCAGATGTTTGTTTGAATATGTTTACTTGTGTTGCTGGAGTGTTGGATTAGAATTTTCTTTGCTTCATGGTTGTTTTCCAGGAGGACATTTCTGTGGTGTGGGGGTGTTTCTACAAGGTTGCTAGCCCAGGCACCTCTGGCATCAGCTGGCCAAGTCCAGGCGCTGCACGCTTGTTTGTTTTGATGACTGACGGGGGAGGGGTGCATCTCCTGGTATTATGGTCCTCTTTTCTTGTAGTGCCCTAAACTTTCCCTTTTTCTTCTTTCTATCTTCACGACCCAGTTGCCAAAGGGCACTTCTCCCTTCCTCTTTTGCTTTTTTTCTTTGCCAGAAGCTATGGGCTTTGAAGGATGCCTCTTTAAATGGCGTCTGTCTGTTTAAACTGTGTGGACTCTGGGATCCCTTCCCTGAGTCCAGGCTCTGTCCACCCAGGTGCTTTCAGAGCTTTTCTGGGGGCATGCAGGTCACGCTCACCCCGTGCTCGTCTCCCTCTTCTGCCCTCGCTCACCAGAGCCCACGTTGTGGGTGTGGGCCGGCAGCACGAGGGGACCCCACAGTGGGATCTGGTGGCTTTTCTCTTTTCACTAGTGTTGTTTTCAGATTTTGGCGTTTTCTCTCCTTAGGTTATGCCAAGGGTGTGGTCTGATGTGGAATTTACTCTCCCTTTTGTGTACTCATACCATTTGGGAAGAACTGCAGGGAAGTAACTGAGCTACACGATTGCCCGCGTCTTCAGCCGCTTGGAGATCAAGCACTTCTCCCAGGAGACCGTTCTGCCTGGTTTAAGGGGCTCAGAGTTTGACATTTTTCATTTTAATCTTTAAGTATCTGTTTTAAGACATGTTAGAGAACAGTAAAACTAGCAGTCTAAACCCATGATACAAAGTGTCTGCATTGAATAAATCCATTACATTTTTAAAAAGTCAACTTAGAAAATATTAAATAAATAATAGTACAGATAATAAACAAGTTTGGCGCAAATATGATAGTTTGCAAGTGACTGAAGTTGTGGAGCCGCTGTTGTAACTGGAAGTGTTTCCCGCGTCGGGCGGGAGCTGTCCAGCTGCCGGGGCTGTGGGCTGACCAGGGAGCCAGAGGAGTGTGGCTGTGGGCAGAGGACGACTCCATGGCCATTTGCAAAGGTCGTCCCACCTCTCCAACCTCTGTGGCAGTGAAAACATTGTTATCCCGCAAAATACACAAAGCCTTAGGACTTGGAGAGTGAATAATTTTTCCTTTAGCGTTAGAAGATTGCTTTGGTGATTTATCTTCTTTAGTTCATGGAAAAGCAGAAACCAAATGCTAACTTTCCCAAAGGTTATCTGTTAGGGACGTTGTGTGCAACTTTTGAAATAAATAACCTGAATTTGCTCTTCAGTGTCACTAAGAGGAAGGATTATTCACATGTGAATTATTCATATTGTATTAAGAAAGTATGTAACGTAACACTGGGCAACATATGTTGAAGCATATAACTAGCTTCTTGAACAAAATTTATGGGGTTTGTACATTTTCAATATCAGTAAACCAGTCACAATAGTTTATTGCAGAAGTTTTGGCCAAAACTGTTAAAATGACTATTTATAAAGCTAAGTAAATATCAGACAATGCCAGAAATAATGAGGTTAAATGTAATTGATGGTTGTTATTCCTGAAAGATGAAGTTTACAGTCCTCTCCTCAAACACCCTATAAACTTTCCCAGCTCCACAGGGTCTGTATTGGCAGCTGAAGTTTTCAGAATTCAATTCAATTTGAGTGTTGTGTGCTTTATGAGGCCATCTCAGGGAAATTTTCTTGTTGCAGAAACGGGCATGCAGAAGACTAGATGCAGCTGTGCAGGAGTGGGGCTGCGCCCAGGTGAGGGCCAGCACCCTGGGCTCCTGGAGTGTCGAGGAGCTGGAGTTGAAGCACAGAGGCTGCCCCCTTGCGGCAAGGCCAGAGAGCGACCAGGCGCGGCCCGACGCGGGGGTAGGTTCCTGCTGCCACCAAACCCGCTGTGAACCCATTTAAATATTTTAATAGAAAGTATAAATAGTCGTTGTTCTGATACATCTGTGGCTGTGATTTGTTAAATAGATTCCTCAGAATGGTGGAGGGAGCTTGGCCCAGCCTTGCCCGAGATGTATTGCGGGAGAATCTGTAAGTGCCTTAACCTTCTTGCTGTGACATAAAAGATAGACTTGTTTTTAAATATTAGATCCATAAAACAAAGTTAATAAAAATGGCAGTTACTTTTCTAAGGAACGAGGGATGTAAATAACGAGGTGTGGATTGATTTAAGCTTTTCTTAGCATTCTCCTAGGGTGCCCACTAATTTGTTTCCAGCTTCACATTAGAAATAGAAATTGAAAATACATTTAGAGTTCTTTCTAAAAGCAGGATTCAGGGAAGGGAACAGGGCACTGGATATGGTTAAAATAGAGATCATTTGAAAACATCTTGGAGAAAAGACTTACCCTCATTTAATTATCCAAATGGGAATCAATTGTTGTTTTTTCTTTTCCCTGTTTAAGCTTTTCTTTTATGTTTCCATAAACTTCGCATAAACCACAGATTTCAGAAGGAGAAATGCAGTACTCACATCATTAATTCAAAGTAAAGGGAGGTCTAACCCTGCCAGAGTCAATTCTCAGTCTCAGACTGGGCGGAATATCATAAAGTATACATTAGCATAATAATACCTTTGTTATTAATTTTGAGCTTATTCTAAGGACAAGTTAATATGTCTTTGATAACCTCTGTAATTCCTGGGTTTTTTTTTTTAATTTTAAATTTGGAACCTTAATACTGCAATAAAATAGAATTGTGTTTAATTTCCACACAGAAACCAGGAATGTGTGTGTGTGTGTGTGCGTGTGTGCGTGTATGTCTGTGTATTTCTGCGATTGTCCCCTAAAGATTTTTAGAGAAACATACTGCTCTGTTTTTGATAAGCAAAGATTGAGTCAATAAATTACAGAGCTCTTCAATTGACACATTGCAGGCTACTGTGTTTTACAGTGATAGGCAATGATTTTGTGTTAAACCAAGACCTAACACTGTGTCAGCTATCACCCACGTGGACCTCTAATTGTCTAAAGTCATTAGACAAATCTGAAAGCAAAGCTTCTTGTCAAACTCGTGCTATGAAGGTGTGCTTTTCTATTTTTTGTGCTCTCTTTTTCGGGAAAATTTCCACAGGCCGTGTTGCATTCCATGGAGTAAGTCTGAACAATGGTGAAATCAAAGATCCACCAGTTTGAACTTACTGTATTTAGATTGATTTGTATAATTGCCAAACAGTCCCTGGAATGCAAATAAATGATATTTACCTTGAGAAATCTGACCTCATTCTGGGTAAATTGCGTGAATGCTCAGGACTAACTGGTAACCTCCCTCGTTCTCTTCCCGTTTCCGTGCAGTGTATCTTTCAAATCCCGCGTCCGTTGGGCAAACACTTGGGCTGTAATATGGCTTCTTAATGCTCCGAGCTGTGGTGTTCTGACATGAATGGCTTAAAGGGAAAAAACTTGGCTCAAGCAACTGATTGGATCATTTTGGCTAATATTCTGTTTGAACAACAGTACCTGTTTGATTAGGATTTTTCTTTCCTTTGTAATTCCCCAAGCTTGCCTCTGTTATGTTTCATAGGAAATGAATCTATGAGCAGAAAACCTATGTTGATATGTAAATATATCATTTTTTCGTTAATGCTCGATATTCTTTTCATCTAAATTTCAGAAACCGACTTTAAAAAATCAGTTTCCCTTTATTTGTAGTTATTCTCAATAAAATTTCACCCAGGCTTGGGTGATTTAATATTTACACCCACTATTTCTAAAAGTCTTATGTAAATAAAGATTGAAATGTGAATTTGAAAAGTCACACCTCTTGATATTTGAACAGACTATAGCTGCATATATCTTCTTTTTCTAATAATATGGCTAGTTTCCCTCCTAAGCTTTTAAAATAATAAGACACTATTTTTGTATTCTAGAACATCCAAAGGTTCAGTGTTAAATAAAAAGCAAATAGTATTTTTGGAAATGCAAGATCCCAGGGAGAAGTGCTTAACAGGAATTCACTGACGGGCAGCAATTCCAAATTTCAGAAGACTTCATTAAACAGCTCCATTCACAAACTCGTGCCCATTTCCACATGAGCACGCACCCCGTCCTGGCCCACAGCTCCCATAGCTGACCCAGGGTAGCGACCTGGGGTCAAAGAGCGAGCAGCAAAGGTTATGTGAGAGCAGTTTGTGTGGAATCCCTAACAGGGGAGCTCCGTGTGATTCTCAGCTTGTTTGGGGCTTTTCCCCAGTGACCTCCTTCGTATCCTAGTTCTCTGGTATATTCTGGCCTCAGTAGGGTGTCGGCTGCTCCCATCAGGTCTGCTCTGAATTCTCAGCGTGGCTGTCTCGGCTCGGCTGGGCTCGGTGCCTGAGTTCCTGTTGTCCTTCCGTTCCTAAGCTCTTCCTTATTTTTACCATGAGTCATTTCTCGCGTATGCAAGGACTTGACTTCCCACGTGTGCAAGGACTTTGTCCGTAGACCTTGTCAAGCTCATTTTGTGAGTTACAATGATTACTGTTTCAATAGTTGCTGGCATAGTTTCTTACAGTCGTCACTATTAAAGATTAGCTTCTGGTACAAGTTATTATTTAGGAGCATCTCCTCTTAGCCCTGAGTCACCCTGCTCATGTTACTGACAACCGGAATGAAACTGTCCTCTGTTGTTGTGGTGGGACATGACGCTATGTCGTTCGGGGTGTCCCCCCCGCTGGGCAGGCTGCCCTCTCTGCTCTGCCCCGTCCAGTGCAGCAAGTCTAGAAGGAGTGCCAGTGGCTGCCATAACTGGCAGACTTCCTTTTCTCCACGAGTGGTTCCAAGGCAGGACTGAGGCCCCAGAGCAGGCTCGCTTTCTCAAGTCAGCTCAGCTTGCTTGGCGCAGGGATCGGTGGTAGCCAAGTGTAACGTTGAAATCACATCATTCTTTGCAAATTCAAACCCATTAAATGAAACCTAACAGGGCTGCAAAGGTTTCCAAAATAATCATAAGAAGGTACTTGAAAAGTGGGAGCATTAGAATAGATGAGATGTAAAACCATAGGAAGAACAGATTGAGGATGCTCATTGAGGGGGAGGTGCCGTTTCCTCAGTACCACATTTTTCCAGTGGTCTCTGGTCTCCACCACTCTGCAGCTCCTCAGAGCTGGAGTCCTTCAGGGAAGGGGCTAGCCTCAGGTTCTCTTGGGTCGGTGTGATGGTCAGTTGCCTCTCAGCTGTGTCCCCACCTTCATGTCCCCTGCTCCCTGTTGTGGGGACTTTCTAGCTACTGGTGCATGGTGGGAAGGTGGAAAGGAAGCCAGGGCATTTCTCCATCCCCTCCCCGGGGCTATCTCTCAGCGCCTCCCTCCAGGGTCCCAGCTCCTGCAGAGATGTCCCCCTGTGGTCCAAACTCCTGCTGAGTGACGCCTGGCCTCTGTGGTCACGTTCCTCGCTGTCCTCCCAGCCTGAAGGTAGGGCTTCCTGCTGTGCCTCTCCCTCCCCCGTGGGGCTTCTCTTCTCTCCCGTCACTTGTGTAGTCAAATCCCGTGTTAAATTCCCGCTGTTTAAAACACCTAGATTGGTTTCTGTTTTCTGCCTGGACCCTACCTGGGCTAATCAGCTAATGAGTGGACAGATTCTCAGGAGAAAGAGAAAAGGCTTGCTGCTTTAGGCATAGGCCTCGGGGCTCTGAGTGTGGTACCCGCCCTCAGGGCTCAGCGTCTTAGTCCAGCCGCCTCAGTGCCTGGCGTGCTGGCGGAGCCAGTCCCAGCTGTGAGTCCCGCGGGTGATGTTGAGAGCCTGGGGTTAAATTCAAAAGCACAGGCAGGCCCTTGAATGTTGCCCATCACTGTTGTTCCTTTGCTTTCTTTTATCTGGTGTTATTGGGTTTTATTACCCAAACGGGTAGTGAATTGCCACCTAAAAGCCAACATGTAAAACATGAGTTTTTGGTGGTGTAGACTAGTCTCCCAACCCCACTGCACTGACTTTGGATATCAGCCTGTTCATTAGTGTTGAGGGCTAATACTAAGGGAGTAATCTTAATAAGCCTCTACATCATTGACTTTTTCACACTGAGATCTATTCCTCGACAGTAGGGGTGGTGTGGGTGGGGAAGAGAGGCCGCCATGCAGGAGTAGAATAGAGGGCAGGGGGTGTTGGGTCCAAGCCTGTTGTGTGGGTTCAGTTTCCCCTCTGGGGACAGCAGGAGGAGCCCAAGTATGATTCTCAATAGATAGATTCTTTTCTTTGTACTTCTTTTTATCTTCAAATGGGTGACCTTTAAAATATTTGTTTTATTTTACTTGCCCATCTCTATTATTGGTAATTGCATTCCACATCTGTAGCATCTATAACTGCCGCACGGAAGCAGGAGTGGACCCAGAATCCGGTGTAAATGAGATTGCTGCCCTCTCCTGTGCCTGCGGTGACAGCAGCACTGCTGCCTGTGCTTGACACTGTAGGCCCAGGTGTCAAGCCGGGGACAAAGGCCAGGGATGAAAATGTAGTGTTCTGACATAGATTAAGAAAGATCAGTGTGCAGTGCTCCACTCTTTGTGGCCTATTTCAGCAACAGCTAGTTCTTGTCAGACCTTTATTCTTATGTCCTGAGAGAAGAAAACACAATCATGGAGGGATCAACGGGAGTTTCATTGATCATTCTGGAGGAATCAAATTGTGCTCTGCATTTTTCCCCTCAGTTTGAAAAGGATCCTAGAGTTCCTTGGTCTAAGCCTGTCAATTTACAGATAAGCAAAATGAGGTCCACAGGGGTGAAGTGATGGGTCTGCTGTGCACCGTGGGAGGTAGGGAGGCTGGGCTCCAGGTCTCACCGGCACCCTCTCCTCTTCTGCTCTTCTTGGCTGGTCTCTGAGTTTACAGCCAGTGTGCCAGCATCCCCACACTGGTGGTATAGTGACTTGCTCCAACGCCCTCTGAGAAGCATGGCGGTGAGATTGTGGGTCTTTGTGGTCGTCATTTCCAGGCACAATGAGAGCGTCTTGGCTAAGACACAGGGCTGAGTTATTCAAACTGTGGAATAACAAGCCAGCTGGGAGAAGAGTTTGGCTGTCAGTATAGCCAAATGTAAATCCCCAAATAGATGAGTTTGAA